GAAGCCAGTGAATGGAGTTCCTAGTAACATGTATTGCTTAAAAGAAAATATGTCTCCAGAATGGGATACAATCTTCTCTTCAAACAGCAAGGTAGGACCTGAAGCAGGGTATCTGGAGGGATAGATGTTGCTCTTCCCATCTTGGAAAAAAAAAGTAAAACATCCTGTGGTCACATATCCTGCCTGAGAGTTAAATTAATAGTCCTGCTGTTCCTTTGGGAAATCTGCTAATTGTCTTCAGATATGTTTAAAGGAAAGTCCCTTTTAAAGGAAATGTTTGGAAGTTCTTTTTTCTTCTGCCCTTGATCATGATTGTGTTAAGCAAGGCTCAGAAAATTTGGAGGAGGTCCAGAAGCAACAAAGAAAATGACGAAAGGGTTGAGAAAGAGACACCATGAATGAAGATGTAAAGAATTAGATTAAGTAGATTTACAGAAGGCTGGATGTGGGAGGGAGTGATGACGAAAGGTAGGGGAGAATCAATGAATGAGCCCCTTCAAGTCTATAAAAGGCTAACCTTCTGAGCTTCTCATCTTCATTTCTACCACAGAATGGATTTATCTTCCTCAGGAGGAATTCAGATTAGTAAAGAAGAACAACTCCCCATCTTGAAATGTATCTGTGAGACAAGGGAATAGGGGAGGTCAGGTGGGAGGATCTTTAGTTCCTGAGACAGGAAGATCTAAACCAGTGCATTCTGGGTTGGTCACTTTGTCACCTCATTGAAAAAGTACCCAATTGGCTGATTTAAGAAGGAGTCCAAAAATCCAGGCCTGTTCATCAGGCTTTTACTTTAACAGGTGTGTGGATAAATTCCCTAGCAAGAACGAGACTGATGAGAGGTAAAGCAACTGATGATGCTGTCTCAATGTCAACTTGACTTGACAGTGCTCTACTGGAGGAGAGGAGAGTAGAGCAGAGCAGAACAAAGCAGAGTGAAGGAGAAGAGAGGAAGAGAGAGGCAAGGAGGTGTTCCATTAAAAACTGGCTCAACATTTCCATATTCTCTTCCAGGTAGTGTTTCCTGCTTAACTCCACCCAACTCTGATTGCCTCTGGTTCTTCCATTCATTCTGAATTCTTTCATTAAGTCCTTTTCCAATTGGACTTAGCGTTTTCCATGCTTTTGCACTTGACCTGAGTCATAAGCTGGGTATTTTATCTTCTCCATCACATTGAGAACCTTCCATGGGTAGAGACTGTTACCAGACCCAATTCCACATGTATTTGTTGAGTGTGTAGGACCTTCTGGGTCTCCCTCTATTGTTCAGGACAGGGCTCTACACATAGGGAGCCTTATATTGTGTTGTGGACCAAGTGACTTTCAGGATGCATCTCAATGCATTTATTAACTATCTGAATAAAATAATTTGAATGACTGTCAAAGGTTTAAAAATAATTGTCTGGATTTTACAATTATGTCCTTTTGGAGCTAGTGAGTATGCACACCAAACTCAATTAGTCCGAGTTCCATCTTCTGAACTAAGTGAAGGTCCCTGAGAAATGGAAAGGAATTGAAATGGGGAGTGCAGAGCTGAAAATAGTCAGGGAAGGCTTCCTATAAAAGTAGAGAATGAAGTAGGATTTACCAGAAGCAGAACTGACCTATAGAGAGAAGAAAGGAGACTGTGCTGTACTACTTTGACTTATGTGCCAAACTGTACTGACTTACCACTTCTTTTCCTGTGGCCAAAACCCCTTTGTCCAAAATTCCAAAACAGTGCCTTAAAAACAAAGGAGACACTTCCTAAGTTGTTGAATATTCAATGACAACTGAGATTGCTAGCTGCATTTGCCCAAGGAGGGTAATGACATCACTATTGATGTTATAGTTAACTCTACCTGACTCAACAGATGATCTCCTTAGGTGATATACCCTCTGTCCTAGTTCTCAACTTTTGGCATCCCTCTGCACTGAAAGCTTCACAAGAGGGCAAACTGAGGAAGGGAGAGGTTGAGGAAAACTCAGCTCAGACCTTTCTCATCTACATCGGCAACCACAACCAAAGTTAAGTGGAGGAGGTCATTGGATTATTGGATTTAAAGCCGGAAGGGACCTTTGGCGGTCATAGAGTCTAACCCAGGACTTCTGTTTCCAAGTCCAGCTGGTGGGCTCTTTCCATTTTTTCATTGTCTTTTAAATCTAAGTCTCTTTCTCACCCACAACTCCCTGGAACAGATGGGAGTTAAACTGGAACACATTCCTGGATTTCAAATATAGGGACTTGACCAGAATCCCTAGGGAATCCAACTTTAGAATTTGTTTTCATTTTTAAATTTTGTTTGTTATTAACTTGAAGACTAACAAACATGAATATTTCAACAAATGAAGGAAAACAGGAAAGACAATTGTATATGAAACTGTGAGTTTCTATTACATTCATTCTTGGAGGATGTCAAACATCTGGTCTCAAAGGCCAGAGATAAGAATAGCAAACTTGTAACTGTGGCAGCAAACTTCAAGACATAAGATCAGGGTGATCAAGTCTGCTCCTTCTTTGTGTTTTAGCCCTTGAGGACTGATCTTGATTATGTGAGTGAGAGATCTGAGTTTCAAGGTATCAGAATGCTGTTAGGTGGTAGTACTGCCTATAAAATGATCTGAGAGCTGGTTTTGTCACTAAAGGCAGGGGTAAGGAAGATATAGAATTAGAAATACTTTCACTTGGGAGAAAAAAAAATGAGTTGAGGTTGAAAGATTAAAAAAAAAGGTGTGTGATTTGCCTAGGTAGTAAGTGGAAGAGATAGGAAGTGAATTCAAGTCTTAAGACTTCAAAACCAGAGTTCTTTCTAGTATAGAACATTGGTTGTGTTTTGTTTTGTTTTATTTTGTTTTTGAGGCAATTGGGGTTAAGTGACTTGCCCACCATCACACGGCTAGTGGGTACCATATGACCGAGGCTAGATTTGAACTCAGGTCCTCCTGACTCCAGGGCCAGTGCTCTATCCACTGTGCCACCTACCTGCCCCAACACATTGTTTCTTGAAGCAGATGTGGAAACTGAGTTTCAGACAGGGGTAGTCATCTGCCCAAGATCACATAGCTAGTTTTGAAGAGGCAGATCTAGCTGTGAGGGAGGTCTTCAAATATTTTAAATATTTGAATTTAAAATTCAAATTTGAAGTTTAGATATTTATAATTTTACATACTTCACATCTGTCATGAGACAAAGCAATGAGAACTGTTCTTTGATCCTAGAGGCCAGAACCAAGAACCATCAGTGAAAGTTTCAGAGAGGCATATTTAAGAATTGAGTTAAGAAAAAAAACCTTTTGATTAGAACCATCCCAAAGTGGAACAGACTGTCTTGAAAAGTCATAGGATCAGAAATTTAGACCTTATACAGCACCTTGGAGATGATAGAATCTAACCCCCTCATTTTACAGATGAGAAAACTGAAGGTCACATGAGCACTGCATAGCAGAGCTGAAATTCAAATGCAGGTTCTCTGACTGAACCAAATGTTCTTTCCATGTCACCATAGTAATTGGTTTCTCCATTCTGAAGGTCTTTAAGCAAAGGCTGGAATACTACATATCAGATATGTCATAGAGGGGATTCTTGTCCACCTGAGTTGGAATTGGCATTGGAATTGATAGTGGCATTGGATTTTGAACTGATAGCTTTGAGGTGCCTTCTAGACTTGACATCTTGTGGTAACCTCTACTCCATGTTGAAGAGGACTTTGGAGGAGAAAGAGGGTGGGGACTTGCAAAGAGTGATATGAGATTTCACTTATCTCCTCAGTGCCCCATGTAAATCTCTAGAAGTATAACTTGCAAAACAAGTTTCTATCAACACTGGCAGAAAGGGTTTCTTCACTGGGAGTTGTCTACCTCAGTGAAATCACAGCTCTGGGGAAAATAAAACTACAGGAAAATGAATCCTAGCTGCAAGAACCCCAAGTGTTGGAGAGAAGCCAAGTGGAAATATTGTCCCTTGCTGGAGGGGTCAGAGGAACCATCACTGCTCGAGTTTTGGTGAAGGTGACTCACAACTGGGCACCATGGCCTCAGCAATATGAAATGGGGTGGCTAGGGCAGCAGTTGCTCTACATGGTGGCACATACCCATCATATGAGGCAAACTCTAAGGGAAGGCTGTCATTCCCTGGATGTCTCCTTTTAGGGAGGAAGCCTACTCCCTAAATGTAGAAGAAATCTGTCTCTTATGTCAGTACTTAGTGGCAATCCTCACCAGCCATATGTTGTAACAACTCTGATGTAGTAGATGATTAGAGCAGGGGCTCATAACTTTGTAATCTGCAGGGTTATTTTGTTTATTTATTCTGAGGAGGGTTTACCTCCTCAGAATATTGTTTTATAAATGAATAACTTTTAAATACATAGGATTGCAAAGGAAACCAATTGTACTGAAACACAGTTATAAAAATATTTAAATAAGACATATTCATGACCCCCCTGAAATTAGCCACAGACTCTTGAAAACCAGAATTCCTGGACTAGAATCTTCTCCAAGTGAGAGGGAGGTTAGAGGATTTAAAAAAAAAAAGGTTTGACAACCACAGATCTTGTATAAAGGCAACTCCAGGTAATAGCAATATATATTATAAATCTGCTTTATTAGACAAGTATAAGAGATGGAAGGGACCAAAGAAACACCCCACAAGGATACAGTTTCTGTATTTTATCTGCTTATATCACCTCTGCTTTCTGGGACACTGCAAGAAAACACCAGTACCACTTCTTTTTAGCACATAGGGATTCAATAGAGGTGCAGTTCCAGATGGCCAGCTGAGGGTGGCCAAGTACACGATGCTTCTTTCAGATCCAAAGTGAGTGTCTGTTGCTAAAAAGAACATTTAGGTGTTTTTGCAAGTCCTCTGACTTAGGGACTTAAAGACAATAGGTGGATATTCTGATAGCTGGACAGGAGGATCAGATGGAACTTGTGTGACCCTGCACACTGACGATATTCTCAACAATCTCGTGACTGGAAGTTCACCTCAGGGACTATAATTCAGTTGGTGAATATGGCATTTAAAATTTTGGACCCAAGTCTGGATGCAAGAGAAGATCAAAGGTTGGAGGGGGGGGCACGTCTAGAAATCAACCCCAACATCTTCCGCAGACAAAAGGATGGCAGCCTTGATTCTAAGGGTTAGGAACAGGAAGCAGGAACTTGAGGCATTCCGGAGCCAAGAATCTGGTAGACACGTTAGTGCTTGTAACTCTTCTTAGTGGAAGATGTGGTTGTGGTGTACTTTACGCTGGTGCTGCTGCCCCCCAGGGAGCCTCTCCCACTGCCAGCGCTGAAGCCACCTCCAGCGCTGAGTCCTCCTCCCACACTGTAGCTGCCGCTGCTACCATAGGAATAACCACTTCCTCCACTCAGACCAAAACCACCGGCAACACCACTGCCACTTCCATACCCGCTGGAGACTGTGGAGCTCACAACAGCTGTGGAAGGAATGGAAAAAAATGTGCGTTGAGACCCCACTAAGCCAGAAAGCTACTGAAAAGTGAAAGCAAAAGTGGGAACCATCAAAGATACTTACAGATGTTGACTGGTCCAACACCCTCTCCACTCATTCTGTGTGGGGAGGAAACAAAGGTTATATTTCAGAAGACTGAATTTGGGACAAAGTGGGATGATTCCAGAAGTTTCCCCAGTGGCCTTTAGGGTAACCACTTTACTCTGTGTTTTCTCAAAAAGAGCTCAATGCTTCTGAGATTCTGCTCAGTGCTTTAATGGCTGAGGCGACCTACCACGCAAAGCCCAGAGAACAAGTACCCACCTGCACTCCTCTCCCTCCAGCAGCTTCTTGTAGGTGGCGATCTCTATATCCAGGGCCAGCTTGACATTCATCAGCTCCTGGTACTCACGCAGCTGGCGGGCCATGTCCTGTTTGGCTCTCTGAAGAGCATTTTCCAGCTCCTCTAATTTGGCCCTGGCATCCTTGAGGGCCATCTCACCCTTCTGCTCAGCTTCAGCAATGGCATTCTGCAGGTTGGCACACTGCAGGGAAAAAGAAAGAGACCTTACTTTTTCTTCATTTGAACCGGGATACAATTAGGAAAGCAGCTGGAACTCATCAATTCCAGCCCTTCTCCTTAGCACCAATCCTTGTTATCAACAAGCCCCAATTTAATGTTGGTCTGTGTTAGCCATGTCAAATGTGGAAATGAATGGCAACGGGTAGGATATGGGCCAGCCATAGTAAGGACAGGGCTCTTTAAGTGCTAGAATCATATGGGTAGATTAGCTGTGAGGAAAGAACTTAGTAGCTCCTACCATGGTCCCTGGACTGAATTGTCATGGTAGCAGTGATGAAGGTGTCCAGAGAGGAAGTGCAATGTTGGCCCAGAAAAACAGCTATAGCCTACCTGCTTCTTGACGTTATCGATCTCGGCTCTCAGCCTCTGGATCATTCGGTTTATTTCAGAGATCTCGTGCTTGGTATTGCGGAGGTCATCCCCATGGCGGCCAGCTGTGATCTGTAGTTCCTCATACTTATAGGACAGAAAAAGGAAGAAAAGGAGAGAAAGACAGCATCAGCATCACACTGAAATGCTTCCCAGATTGTGTCAGTGTTTCTTCATGGGATTCTCTCTAAATGCTCACTAGGACAATTTAACTCATCCTTCATAAGCAAGCTATTAGGGAGAATGGATTTTCATATCACAATGTTCTGTTTCCCAAATGAAAAAGGGGGTGGGGGAGGACTCTAACCTGCCCTTAACTATCTGGTAGGTTAGTATGGAGATTAAAAACAACCCAGTTACTTCCCCCTTATCTCACCTTGGTCTGGTACCAGGACTCAGCTTCAGCCCTACTCCTCTTAGCAATATCTTCATACTGAGCCTTGACTTCAGCAATGATGCTATTCAGATCCAGAGAGCGGTTGTTGTCCATGGAGAGGATGACAGAGGTGTCAGAGATGTGGGTCTGCATCTGGGACAGCTCCTAGAGGACAGAGACAATCAGTTGTACCATCTTTAGTCAGTAGGAAGCATTCCCAGGGGATCTGGGAATTCTGCCAACAGGTCCCCTAGCCCAAACCTTTATTAGATGATATTTCAAGGCCTAATGGATCTGAGATGCCAGGCTTAAAGTTTTACATATTGAATATTCAGCATGCTTCCTTTGGCACCTGTCCCTTAGTAAACAACTTTTTTTTTTTTGGAGAACAAAGATAGAATTCTTACTGCTTCATATAAGGCTTTCAAGAAGTTGATCTCCTCTAGGAGGACGTCTGCATTGGCTTGCAGTTCAACCTTATTCATATAGGCAGCATCAACATCCTGGATGGGGAAAACACAAGAATTCAGCCAATGAGATCTTCTTTCTCCTACAGCCAAACACAGAATGTGTACTTGGACACAGGCTTCCTCTTTCTGCAGCCTGTCCCCTATAATCAATCAACTCACCTTCTTCAGCGTCACAAATTCATTCTCTGCTGCTGTGCGCTTGTTGATTTCATCTTCAAACCTAGACAGAAGGAGAAAGGAAAGATGGTTGAGTCAATGGCCAATAGGACAGGGTGAAACCAGCCTGAAATCCAAGATCTCCCCCAAAATGGACCATTCCCATGTGGATCTGGATCATGAATTTCCCTTCATTGATATGAAGAGGTGAACTAACACAGGGCACACTAGGAAATTTAAGAAATATAGTTGTGATCTCTGACCTTCTTTACTACCCCACCACCCCCATTTTGTCCTCTTAGGGATGATACAGAATAGCGTGAGGTGTTTACTTCCTCTATGAATCTTTTGTAGTCTGCACACCAGCTGTTTCCTCCTTTCTTCTGGTCTCCATCCATCCCACACACTTTTTCTCTTTTCTACTCTTACTCTCTCACTTACTTGTTCTTTTTTTTTTTTTGGCTAGGCAATTGGGTCAAGTGACTTGCCCAGGGTCACGCAGCTAGTGAGTGTTATGTGTCTGAGGCCAGATTTGAACTCAGGTCCTCCTGAATCCACGGCCGGTGCTCTATCTACTGCACCACCTACCGGTCCCTCACTTACTTGTTCTTGGAGTCTTCCACTTGATCTTGCATGTTTCTCAGCTCACCATCCAGAGAACCTTTCTCATGTGTGATTCTGTCCAGTTGCACCTTGAGTTGGCTAATATAGGCCTCAAACAATGGCTCCAAATTTTGTTTCACAGTCTTGGTGCCCTGTTCCTGGAGCAGTGTCCATTTGGTATCCAAAACCTTGTTTTGTTGTTCAAGAAATCGTACCTGGAGAATGGAAGAGAAAGTCAGTCCCATAAAGCGTTCCCAGAGCTGGTGGAAGTCAGTACAAGAAGGCAATAATGCCATCAATGGTTGTATGACCTTCCCCAAATCCTAGCAGGGCAGCAAATCCTTATGATGTCATATTGTGAAGAGAGGTTTTGACGATGGCAATTCTCTACTCAAATTCTACTGGCAATCCCCAATTTTCCTGTGGGGGGTTGCCCAGTCACCATCTCTACCAACAGATTTAAGCAAAACCTACCTTCTTCTGCCTCTTCCTTATCTCATCACTTTAGTTTTTTAGCTGTAATTGAATTTTAAGAAGACAATTTGTCCACTCTAGAGTACAAAGTGGGTCCTAGAATCTTAATGTTGGAAGTGACTTTAGAGGACAGCTAAGTCACACCTCCCACCCAATGCAAGAATCCCTTATGCAGAACCATTTCAAGCCTCTGACTGAAAGCAGTAGTTAATTTCAATTCATTTCTATGTTTTAAAGTGTCCAAGAATTCGTTGCCCTTCCTATCGTGATGCTTCTTGAGTGAACCGAACATATCTTTTGTTTTACTTGTGTCTTCCTATGCTAGTATCAGAGAATCATAGCCTTAGATAAGATGAAAGGGATCTTAGAGGTCAATCAGTGCAATCCCCTCCTTTTACAGGTGGGGATCCTGAGACTCAGAAAGGGTGACTTGCCTAAGATCACACAGGTTGTAAATAGTAGCCCTGGGATTCAAATGCTGGTCCTCTGACTCCCAAGTTGGGTAGAATTTTCTCTGTACCATGCTGCCTTACTATGCCATAAAAGCTCAATTATTATTGGCTGACAAAAATTTCTCACCACTCCTCAGCATATTCCAGCAATGAGAGAGCAACCCACATTTTAACTTGTTCTCTTCACATGTCATAGGGTTATTGACATCTGAGAATTCTCCCCATCCATGGAGAAGAGGAAAAGTTTCCAAGAAACTAAACTTATGGATGTAGTTATCCCTTTCCTTAATCATCAGGCAATCATTAGTTGGGCAAGCTTCCCAATGCAGAGAGAATTTGAGTCTTTCTTCTCTCTCATTCCCAAGTCTATCTTGGCAGGAAGTTAAGTACAAAGATATGCACTGATTTTCAGGGGACTCTGAAATACATGATGGTTGGTATGTCTTAGTGTCTTACCTTGTCAATGAAGGAAGCAAACTTGTTGTTGAGGGTCTTGATCTGCTCCCGCTCTTCAGTCCTCACTCTCTGGATGGTGGGGTCAATTTGCAGGTTGAGGGGAGTCAGAAGACTCTGGTTGATAGTGACTTCTTGGATTCCACCAGGGGGGCAGGCAGAAAACCCAGCTCTAAAACCAAGTCCACTTTTAATGCTGCCACCACCAAAGCCATATACACCTGTTCTGCCACCAAATCCACTCCAGAAGCCACTATTGGACCCACTGATAGAAATTTGCTTTGAGCCATCCAAATTATAGAGACTTCGACTACCAAAGCCAGTCCCCACACCACTGATCCTCCCTAGCCCTCCATGGCCTCCTGATGAGCGAACCATGGAGACAGAGCTAAAGCGGGAGTGTCCAGCAGCAGGGGTGGTGGCAGAGGCGGCACTGAAGCCCCTTCGGCTCCCTGTCTTAAAGGTGACAGTGGACTGACGAGACATGGTGGAATGAAATAGGATGGCCAGAAGAAATGCTGAGTGTGAAAGGAGAAAGAGAGGAGACACTATGGTTGAGAAGCTGGACGTCCCCTAAGTTTTTATCGGTGAGTAGAAGGAGGCGAGTTATTGCTAAATGAAGGAGGGCTTGCTGATTGCATCCTCTTGGCATTTGGCAACACTGAGCTCACAGCCAACTCCTGGTTAGAAATGGTGTAAAAGTCACTGGTGCCTTGGCATCCTGCCCTCGTGTGGAAATTGACTTCCAGTCTCAACATGATCTGCAGACAAACAAGAGGCATGCTAATTGCTTTCAGTCATGTCCCAGTCATGCACTCTATAATGAAGACAACAAATACAATTATGAACACAACCAAGATGTCTCATTTCTGATCTGCTTTCTTAGGTCTGAGACTTCTGTTCAAATACACTATGTCAATACAAGCCACTATTACTGGTTACTTCCTGTACATTGAACTACTCCCCATCTCTGAGAATTCTTCTGACTTTTATTGCCCAACTGCTCTGACCTGGGGAGGGGAGGTTACCCACTTTCCCATCCCCAAACTCTAGTCTTTCCTTCAATTCAATCTACGTTCTTGCAAACTGATCACTCACATTCTCTAGGAAGCTACCAATCTCTTCTCATGCTTTAATGCTGCATCCTCTCAACATATAGCTTACTTTGTCACATTTGCATCTGTTCGTCTCTTAAATAGCTTTGGGAGAGTGTACGTGTGCACATGCATGCACACATATGCACATGCATGCACATAGCTCATCTGCCAAACACTGGATTGGGAATCAGAAGACCGGGATTGATATGCTGGGTCTTCCACTAATCACCTGTGTGACCTTGGGTAACTCACTTCCTTCTTCTGAGCCTCAGTTTCCCTTTAGATGGGAATGTTAATATATGTACTACCTGTCATTGTGAAGATAAAATGTGACAAAGTATGTAAAGTGTTTTGTAAACCAAAAAGTTAAACACGTATTTGTATGTGTTTGTATGTTTTGTGAACTATGATGATCTCATTATTGAAGATTACAGTGACTGAGCTTCAAGAATAAAGACCGTGTTTTCTTTTCCAAACAAGCCATCAACCATATGTCTACTGATTGCTATTTCTCAATCCAATACATTGGTCAGGTCCTTGAAGGATACCAAAGAAGTCTTAGACATGGTCTCAGTCTTTAAGAAGTTAACAATCTCCCTAGGAAAGCAAGCTAGATAATCCTAAGACAATCAGGCAAATAGTCAAATGCACATTTCTAATCTTCCCTAGTCATCTTTTCCTATAAATCATAGTATTGTTAAGGGACTTCAAAGGCATCTAATCCAACCTGCTCTTCAATTAATCCTTAATAAATATTTATTAAGTGCCTACTACTTGCTAGAAACTGTTAGGCTGCAGTGATACAAAGACAAAAAATGAATAATCCCTACTTGCAATTAGCTTACAGTTTAATGAGGGAGAAAACAAGTACATATAAAAATATGTACCATATTAATATAAAATTAATCAATAGATATGTGTGTATATGCACACATATACACAAAGTTGTTAAATACAAGCTACTTTGAAAGAAAAAACACCAGCTATTGAGGGTAGGGATGAGAATCAGGAAAGGCTTCATATATAAGATGGTACCTGAGATGCATTTTAAAGGAAGAGAGAAATTCTATAAGGTGGAGATAGTCAGTGCCTGCCAGGTATGGTGGATGAACAATGCAAAGGTGCTCATTATACAGCAGAGGAAACTGAGGCTAAGAGAAGCTAAGTGACTTGTCCCAGATTACACATTGAATAAAATTTCAGGCAATATTAAACCCATTTTCTTGAGTGTCAATTAAAATTTAACTCCTGGGGCAGCTAGGTGGTGCAGTGGCTAGAGCACTGGCCCTGGGGTCAGGAGGACCTGAGTTCAAATCTGACCTCAGACACTTGACACTTACTAGCTGTGTGACTCTGGGCAAGTCACTTAACCCCAATTGCCTCACAAAAACAAAAATCAAAAAACAAACTTAACTCCTTCATGAAGTATTCTCTGTTAAACTCTGTTCTTTTCTCTTAACCATCCTGGAGGCCTCCCTGTGTTAATGACTGCATTACCCAAGTCCCTAGATTTAGCACAGGGAGGGACCTTAGAAGTTATCTAGTTTACCCACTTATATAATAGATGAAGAAAAGGCACAAGGGAAATGGCAGAGCTGAGTTTTTTGTCTGTTTGTTTTGTTTTTAGTGAGGCAATTGGGTTAAGTGACTTGCCCAAAGTCACACAGCTAGGAAGTATTATCCGTCCGAGGCCAGATTTGAACTCAGGTCCTCCTGACTCCAGGGCCGGTGCTCTATACACTGAGCCACCTAGCTGCCCCAGAGCTGAGATTTAAAGCCAGGTCTTAAAGCTCTGACAAGTTATTCTTCATTCTAACCTTGTCTCTTTCAAAACTCTGTGTCCTATAGCTTAAGGTTCATCTTTTCCCCTTCCTTCCTCACTAATTAAAGTGGAAGCTCACTGAGGGTAAGAGGCCTTATATTTATTTCCCTTGGATCCCACCATAGGATGATATGGGGCACATAGAACAGGCCTTCTCTAATGCTGACCTCTTGACCCATCTCCCTAGGAAGTATGGCCTAGCAGAAGGACGTTGGCAAATGATGGTCTCGTAAGATTCTCCATCAATCAGTGGGGCAATAAGACATCCTCATGGATGGTTTTCTCCTCAGGAATGAGACCAAGGGGGGTGTCCTCCTCCGTCACTGCTTTGTGAAACCCTCTCCTGCCATAGGGAACCTATGAATCATAGCATCTGTTGATACAGGCCATAAAGAACCACAGAGCATCTCTCATCTTGCTGTTAATGTACCTAAGTCTCACCAAGCTGCCATAAAGGGGTGGTGTGTGCTACCTGAGTGGAAATAATAATTGTCTTTGTTTTCTATAGGCCTCATTATCAGGGATAATCTTTCTCCCAGAAGAAGGAACGCTTGTTTCCTGAGAGGTGCTGTGACTAGCTACATGAAGAGCTTTCCATAGAACAAAGATGGGCAGAGGGTTAAAAGCAGAGCACAGCTTGGATTCATTATCTCAACTTATCTGGCATGCCTATCAGATGGGAGACAGTTACAGTATTCTCCCAGCTGACTCTTCCCCTGTGGGAATCTGGCTGGGATTGGACATCTCTTTCTAGGTCATACTGCTTCTTTCCTGGACCTTGTCCTAGGAGCTCTGTTCCCAAGCATTGTTGTTCTGGGATTTCTTCAGAGGTTGCCTTCAAGGTGGGATGAGCTCACTGCTTCCTCTAGAAATGTGGAAAGGTTTTCCACCAAGAGCATCATTTGCCCATTTCAATCTTATTTCACTCATCAATGGAAATAGACAAGATTTTTACCTTTCCTCATTCCATTTTCCTAATGGTATTTAGTTTTCCAATTACTTGTAAAGATAATTTCTTTTCTTTTCTTTTTAGAAACAGATGGCAAGTTTATTTGGTGAAAGCAGAGAGAGTTGGAAGTAAGGATGTTGCTAATCCTGAAAACATTAGTTGCTTCAGGGGCAAGAGGATGATTTTCACACTAAGAAAGTTAGTGGATTCTTTGTGGAAAGGGAAGTTGTTCACAGCCATTCAGCACCACCTGGACTAGCTCTTCGTAGCTGATACAACTGTTGCTCTCCTCATGCCCTGCCACCAACACTTCTACTTCGTCCTCTGTCATCTTCTCACTAGGGGTGATGAGGACTTATTGCATTTCAGCCCCCATGACTATGCTGTTCCCTTCCTTATCAAACACCTGAAGCCCTTCTACATAGTCTTCATATGTGCCCTGGTCCTTATTATTTTCTATGGTCTGAAGCATTGGCAGAAAGTGTTCAAAGTCCAGAACCTTCACATTCATCACTCTTGGGATCACTCTTGGGATTCCCTAAAATCTTGAGCACCTCAGCATTGGTAGGACTCTGGCCCAGGGGCTTGCATCACATCCCCGCACTGGCTGTATAAGATCTTTCCATCCCCTGTTTGATCAAACCACTGGAAGGCTTCGTTGAACTCTGCTGTCTGATCCTCTGTGAAGTCATTCAACTTGGCCATGCAGCTCGCTCACACTGCTACTGCTGTATGTAATCAAGACAATTTCTAACATTCATTCCTTTATAAGATTTTGAGTTCCAAATTTTTCTCCCTTCTTTGCTTCCCAAGACAGCAAGCAACGTTATACAGGTTATATGTGTGTAATCATGCAAAACATATCTCCACATTAGTCATGTTGCCTCACTTCTTTTTGACCTTTGATCCTGAACTTCTCTTGGCCTGCCCTCTCTTCCAGACCATGTCACCTTCTCCTTTTAGACCCACAGCATAATGCTGTCCTGACCTGAAATACTCACTATATCCGTCTGTCAACCCATGTCTCTTGCCTCTCTCAAGATCCTGCCTAAAATTTAACTCATCTGGGTTTAGATAAGCTCCCCCTGCTGATCTCTGCTTTTTCCTCTACACCCACAGACTGAGTTTCTGCTAAAATATTTTTATTTTCTATTGTTTTTCTTTCTTTCTTTCTTTCTTTCTTTCTTTCTTTCTTTCTTTCTTTCTTTCTTTCTTTCTTTCTTTCTTTCTTTTCTTTCTTTCTTCTTTCTTCTTCTTTCTTTCTTCTTCTTTCTTTCCTTCTCTCTCTCTCTCTCTCTCTCTCTCTCTCTCTCTCTCTCTCTCTCTCTCTCTCTCTCTCTCTCTCTCTCTCTTTCTTTCTTTCTCTTTCTCTCTCTCCTCTCACTCTCTCTGCTTTCTCTCCCTCTCTGTCTTGGATCTTTGTTACCTTTGTTACCTTCAAATGACGAGATTGTTTCCTTCTTCCTCTGGAGAGTCAGCACTCTGGATAGGGTTCTCGACCTGGGAGAGGGAAGAGTTCAATCTAGATCAGAGGTTCTTAATTTTTTTCAGGTCATGGACTCCTCTATTAGTTTGATGAAGCTTGACCCCTTCTAAGAGTAATTTTTTTAAAAAATAAAATAAGATAA